CCAGCTAAACAGTGGTACGGGAAAGTAAATAATTAAACTAACTAGGCAGTGTCGAAGTACGGCGATGTACAAATCCCAGCAACTTCAATTAAGCCGAAATGACCCTGTGCCACATTTTGTTCGGCTAAGCTGCAGTTAAACAAAGTAATGTCAACCTGACCAGCGGTTAGTAGTGCAGCGAAGCTCAAGGAAATATACACGAAAAACACAAAATGTGTACAATAAATGTGGCACGGTGTAGAGAGAACACGAACGAAGCCATGCAAAACAGCACACCAATATTATGCCGCAGCCGTACTTTTCCATCATAAGTCTTCTTGGCAGTACTGACAATGTTTCATTCTACCATTTTCTGAGTCTGATGCATTTGTGTATCTCCATATAAATCTACATACAATCTCTCCATCTCACTTGCAGTTCTTTCAGCACTTGCTTAACACCACACAGACAAAATCAATGTCCGCTTCGCTCATCCATTTTCATTCCGTTTCATTCTCATCTCATGACCAGTTCAATTTGTTTCTAAACGTGTAGCTTCAACGACGTTCATTGTTTCAAGCCGACCAATTTACTGGAGACGAACTGTAGCATGACCGTGCTTTGTCACACTGTATTGCATTAAATCGTGACATAATCTCAAAAAGCGTGAATTTTCATCCACACAATAGATCCATTAGTATAGTAAAAACACAAAATACCGCTTCTGTTTAATTTCACATTTGAATCGTTGTTCATATGTTGGAGCCCTTAAGCACAGCGAAGCACGATCTTCTAGTCTTGCATGGTACTAAGGACAATAATTCTGCTTCACCTGCATGGTTCTCCCGCAAAATGGTAATCTTAATTAGTGACCGCGAGATCCCCAATTAAAAAATGCTATTACTACGAGTACCCTCAGAATGGTGAAACAAAATTCAGGCTGCAAAAAGAATGAGACAATGGGAATATTTAAGTAACAGTGTGAAACTTCCCTGCTGATTTTCCACGAGATGCTTTCCAACGCGCAGACAGAAGAAGCCGGGGAAAAATGCCCCTTCATGTTTCCGGCAATTTTCGCTTGTTTGAATTCATTCAAAAGAGTGATTCAGTGTTTGACCTAACCAAGGAGACTCTGATAAGCAGAATGTACGCAGCACTGATCCTTGATCTACAACGTCAGCAACACAGCATTCTATCTTATTACAAGACTCTCTTGCAATCAACCCATGGCGTCGACATGTGGATTTCCCATCCTTAGCATCATATTTCCAGATGCGTTACAGCAGCTTCAATAACGAAAGCCGACTTTTAAAAGTCTGTCGGTTTCTGAATTACGCCAAGAATCATTCCAAAACCTGCACAGATTAGACGAACAAAATCTGTGAAAACTATCATACTCGGCAGCAGTGCAAAGGTTCTTGTCGCAGCTTTTCTTCGGCACTACAACTCTTCGGACAGCATTTTCCCCGATTCAAACTACCTGATGAACTGTACCACCTCAACCAAATGTTTTTGCGTTCTTTGTACCACTGGCATGAATTTCTTTCGTGCACATCTGATCCAATCAGAGTGTATTTCTTAGCTTCATACTGTGCCACGCAATGTGACGTCAGACTAAAACAGCTGATCACAACAGTTCTCGCAAATTTCTTATTGCTCTCCTGATAAATAGCTCATCGGCTTTCTCTGCCTAAAAACTTCGTCGGGATGCTCTAACTCCTTGCAACGCCTTTCTTAAAACTTTTTTTACTTTATCCTATCTATGTATTACAAAAATCTTCAGAGTTTTATATCACCCCTTCTCCTGGTTCCCAGCACAGAACCTTCCAAAATCATATTAATTGTACCAGCCATTTTGCAATTTCTCGAAGGTAAGCGTTTTTTTGAACGGTCCCTGGGTCTGAAGTAATACGCGACAGAAGAACATAGTAACAATATATTTTAAAAGTCTAAAATTTTACTTC